GCAGCTGCCAAACAACAACTGTTCCCGTCCGATGCGCGACCAAACAGCAGTTGTTTGCTGCTTCTTTTCCGTCGACCAACGACCCAACAGCAGCCGCTGTATCTGTCTTCAACCAGCATCTACCGACTGCTTCTTCGTGAGCCAAACAGTCCCTCTGCGTGCGGCCAAACAGCATAAACAGCAGCTTCTCCGTCAACTACGACCAAACAACAGCTGTTGTTGTTGGGTTTGAAATCAAATAACATACAATAACTACAGCAACTAAAACCCCATCAAATTCTTGCCCACATTGCCAAAACCCCTTATTATGAAAAGCTTCAAATTCTAGAAAAGCTTCAAATTCTAGAAAACATACAAATTGCTCAAGATCATTAGAGTTTTCAAAAATCATATCATTTGCCACTTCAGTTTTCCAAATCAACACCCATTTCACATTCATAAACATCTAGGTTTCCCATTAAAGTATGTATAAATTGCATAACTATCAAGTAATAAAGCATACCCATCAATCAAAAACCCTKACTAGCAATCAAGMAACAGCAAATGGAAGTGCAGAAGTACCTTATCARGGATTCAAACTCCAAACCCGGATTTCATCCTCCAATCAAACAGACARAAAGGAGATCCTTTGAGCTGAATCAATATCAAACACATATGGGTAAACTGTCAAGAAAATAAACAAAAATACCAACCTTTTTCAAACCTTTTGCTTCAATTTAGAAGATCACCTGCAGGTCATGGAGTCATGGACCCAGTAGGGCAAAAAAGACCCAAAAGGACTAACTGGGTCTCTTTCTCTCYCTATGTATCTCTCTCTAACTTGAGAGAAGCGGGCAAAACAGAAATTAACCAAGCAAGAGAAAGAAAATCGAGAGATAGAGAGCTTGAGAGATCGAGATGGATACCTTAAATCGAGCGATGGAGAGGTACAAGACGGTAGGCGAGAGCTTGAGAGAGAGATCGAGAGGTAGAAGACGGTCGGCGAGAGCTTGAGAGAGAGAGATCGAGAGGTAGAAGACGCAGTGATGGAGAGGTTACGGTCAGAGAGCAATCGAGAGCTTGAATGCGATTCAATCTAGAGCTTGAGAAAAGCGACGATGGAGAGGTTAGAGAGACCAGATAGGCAATTCCCAAAATTAGAGGTTTTCAGCGTTTATTTTACCTCTAAATAATTCAGACGTATTCAGAGCTTTTAAGCTCTTAATTGAAAAAAAAAAATAAACACCCTTAATACCCTAAGGTCTGACCGATTCAGACTTCAGAGGGTATTAAGAGGTTTTTTTTAAAAACAAACAGCCCCTAAAACTCTTAAAAACTTTTAAAATTCTTAAAAACTCTTAAAAACTCTTAAAAACTCTTAAACCCGTTCATCCCTAAACGATTTCATCTCATATCTAAATTTGTGTAACTAACTGCAGATAAACACAATCAAATACAAGATAAAAAACTCATTTTAAATATAAAAAATCTAAAATATAATTTGTATAATCATTAAATTCTAAAAGAATACTTAATTATTATCTTTATAAAATTTATAATATTAAACCAAAAATAAATTGTTTTATTATTAAACTTAAATTAAAT